GTCATTAAAGTTAATGACTTTCCTTTATCCTTAAATTATCTTAAATTACCATTTCCTTTATCTCTAGTCATCAAAAGAACACACAGCACAGGCCTGACAGCATATAGCTATACGATGATGCAACCATTTCATATCAACAACTAGAAGTCATCAGTCACATGCAGAGGGAAGCCACAAATTGTCCAAGCCATACATCGGATGGATATTACCTGTAAGCAAAGCTCTGAGGTCAGAGGCAATATCTTTTATTAGACCAACCAAATAGTAGCAAAAAAAATTCCTTTCTTTGCAAGCATTCAGGCACACACACCCTTCTTCAGGCTGAGGAGAAATCAAAGATTGTAAAAGTCTTCCTAGGTAGAAAAGAAACTTCATTTTGCAAAGGGGAAGCAGAGATATTGTATTTTAGCCATTTGGAAAAGTAAACTTCATTCCTAACCACAAAGAAAGAAGGATTTTTCACCTTCCTGTCTGACTCTGACATCAGATACCTCCAGGAAAGAAGCCAGCCTAATCTGCACATCACAGAGCAACACTCTCACAAAAGGACTCTGAGATACCCAGGGGTATACACCCTCTGTCTCACTTGTGCAAAATAAAGTTTCTTTTCTACCTAGGAGGACTTTTACAATCTTTGATTTCTCCTCAGCCTGAAAAAGGGTGTATGTGCATGAAAGCTTGCAAAGAAAAGATTTTTTTTTTGCTACTATTTAGTTGGTCTAATAAAAGATATCACCCCTGACCTAAGAGCTTTGTTTATCTTTTTTTTCTCAGACCAACATAGATCCGTGATTACCTGTAACCATACTCTTTATGCAGACATGCTCACTGGAGAATGCACAGTTGATGTGAGTACTCTCATTTGGTGCACAGTATCTTCTGTTGGCTTTGATACCATAGCAGGCTTCTCTGATGCTGAATGGAGATGAGTAATCTTTCAGCTCTAGAAGATATAAGGGATCTGCAGGAGTCATCACCTTCATTGTTGTCTGAATTTAGTAACAAGACCTACAGAGCTCTTTCTGCTCTGACAAATGCCAAAAAAGTGACTCTTGGCTCATAGCTGTATAAGGGGGAAATAACCAGTATTGTCATCAGGAGCCATAGAATTCAATATGGGACCTGGGCTAGAAATTGCTTTTTAATATAAAGTGCACATTCAACATTAAAACACTTATTTCAGTATTAAGTTTCTGCATTTCAGACGCTTTTCTTTCAATAAATGAAAACACAGAAGAGGGATTGGGCATTCAGCCGATACATGTAACAATCCAGGGTTTTTTGGCTTCTCCACAAGGAATCAATTGCCAGACTCCAAACATTGGCAGGATAATTCTGTAAGTCATGGAAATTGTGAGCTTCATGACACACATGCATTTCATTCCAAATCCTAGCCCATAAAATAACAAGTAGTAGAGGGATAGGTTTTTAATCCAAGTCCCTAATTAGTGTCTGGAGTCTGATAGCTGAAATAAGATCAGACACTGGTATAAAAGAAAAGAGATCACATTTAAAATGGGAATGGAGACATGATTTTATGGAAAACCACTAATGGATTAAGATTAATCTGGAATAAGCAATGAACATCCCTGCATACACTGCATTTTCTAATAGAGGGATCAATCCTATAAAAGGCTAAGCATCCTCAATCTGAAATCAGAGGCCTCTCACAAGGTTTGCTCAGTACTGTATTTTGAAAGACCAGACCCATTGTAACATGGAACAAAATTGCCTGGATCTGGAAATACTTCCACTACTTTCTTAGTCTATTAACTTTCAAGCAAGGCTGATATAGTTCCTAAGGTAAAGGGGCCCCAGGACCAAACATGACCATAACCACCAAAATCAGTAATAACAATTCCCTAATTTCTCATCTTCTTGCTGGGTAGATTCCATACTGATCACGTTTTGCAGGCAAGAAGCAGATGCAGAAAGGAAAATATTGTTATTTGTAAAAAGAGATATAATAGCTAAATGAAAAATGTAGTCTTGTGTCTCATCTCTCCATATGTGACTTAACTGTTTCGAAATAGGTGAAAACTGACATGGATCATTCCTACTGCCTCAGTTTCAGCATCGTGGTCCCCAAACCTTTTTAAATTACGAAAAGCACATCTAGATTACAAAAAGCACCTCACTTTTAAAGATAAAAGAAAATGGATCAAATTGCTTAGGTGCAAAGGGGTGCAAAGGGGTGTGCAAACACACTAAAATACAAGCTAAGACATACTTTTAGTGATTTAGAAGGGCTGGTGTCAAAAAGCTGAAAACAATTGAGACAGATCAGCTGTTAGAAGAATTTAGACAGAAATATGTGAATGGTAATTGGAAATTGTTTAAGAACATTTTACAAGATGCCAAAAATATCATCCCATAACTGAGAATGAAGGCTATACTGATTTATAGCTCAATTGGCTAAGAGAAGAGAAAGCAGCAATACAAATAATATTAGAAATGGGTAAAGGGAAAGTTGATAGGAAATAATGTAAATAAGAAGCTACAAACTATAGAAATAAGGGAAAGAAAAGCATCCAAATAGAAATCAATGTACAGCAGAATTAAGGACTTGAAAATCTTGGTCACTGAATGTAGTCGATGGCAGCAATAAGGGATGTAATTAGACGAAGTTTTACCACATGCTTTCCTTGGACAGCTCTTTTAAAAAACTAGCTTTGGTGTTGATGCTTCTAGTATTCTGTTTCCAACCTCCCCTGTTTATGTAGGGTTTAAATAAAGAGATGCACACTTCCCTAGGGAGAAAGGGAACCAATCTCTTCTAAGGGTGATTGGAATGACTGTCACTGGCAGGTCACTTCTGTACCACTTATTACTTAGCTATTGTGGGAAACAATGTAGCTACATGTACTGTGGTGATTAACAATCTGTCCCTGTTTCAACAATAGACACATGATCAGTATTTTCCCTGGATTATATTTAGATCCTGTTTTCTGCATCCTCCTCAGAATGCTATCATTTTTCTTTTGCAGCTGAAAAACTAGTTGATCTGGACAGAAGACTCTTCTGGGGAAAGTGTAAGTGGGCAGTCAAACCTTTTATTTTACAAAAAAAATCAGGTTTCACTAATCTTTAAACAACACTGCACAACTGTCTCTGAATATAAGTGGGATTCTTTTATTTAAGAGGTATCAGTGATTGGACAAAGGGAAAATGGGCCACTCGTCTTATTGATTTTGGCAGCTCTCTAATTTCTAAAACAATAGTACAACCATTAGGCATTATAAAAAATAACTATTAAAACCCTCCACCCATTAATTAAATGATAAAGAAAGCATCTGAGCTAAATATGCATTTTCAGAAGCACACCCACTGGACTCAAAGTAAATGTGCAATTACTATCACGGGCACACAGAAGTTAGATTCTGCATACAACTAGGGTTACCATATTTCCAGTTCCAAAAAAGGGGATACCAACAAGGAGGACACCTCACTTCCAACCCACAGCCCCCTGGCCCTGCCAGTGCCCCTCACTCCCAACCTGCAATCCCCATCCCTGCTGCTGCCCCTCACTCTCAACCCGCAGACCTCTCACTCCCAAACCAGTTCCCCACTCCCCCGGGGCCAAGCTAATGCCCCTCACTCCCAACCCACAGCCCCCTGCTGCTGCCAGTGCTCCATGCTCCTGGCCCACAGCCCTGCATCTCCCCTGTGCCCCTCTTTCCCCACCACAGCCCCATGCTCCTGCCCCACAGCCCTCCGTTTCCCCTCTGCCTCTCTTTTCCCACCACAGCCCCCCCAGCCCTGCCAATACCCTTCACTCCAGACCTGCAGCCCCCCCTGCTTCCCCCAGCCCTGACAGAGGGAGCCTCCAGCTGCCCCTATCCCAGCCAGGCCAGAATGCAGCAGCTGCAGTGGCTCCAGCTCCTGCAGGTGACAGCAGAGCAAGTCTGGTTCCAGCGCAGGCTGCAGGGAGGAGAAGGAGGGGATCCCTGCCTGTGGAGCACCAGGAGGCTAGGCTATGACCCCCTGCTTCCCCCCCATCGGGCAGCATTTCCTGGGTGCCCTGCCCCTGTAAGCACGGGCACCGGCCCCTGGTACCACTAGCTTGGCCACACAGCTCTCCACTGCCTGCAAAAGGCCCCCCCAGCCCTTTCCCTTGCTGGAAGGGCAGGTGCCTTCCCCTGTACCCTGCCGCAGCCCAAGTGCCTAGACATCACCTCCCAGCACCGGCAGGCACCTGTCCCCCCCTCAGACACCCATCCCCTCCACCTCCCGCACCCAGACAGTCCCCAAGCTCTGGCCCTCCAACCCTCCACCCCCGCAGACTTACCTGCATCCAGATGCTGAGGCTGTTCCCACCACCCTGCCTGGCTGCATGCCAGCCACAGATCCATGTGGTGCCTCCAATTGCCTCCAATTGCCCTTCCCCAAGTGCTATCAGTGGAGCAGAGCAAAATCCCAGACATTTGATCATATTTTAAAAAACTGCCCAGGCGGAGATCAGAGGACCCAAAAAGAGGACCTGTCTGGGAAAACCCAGATGTATGGTAACCCCAATATAATTATGACTCTACATGCACACAACCCCCACCACAACCTTGTTTAGTTCTTCATTTATGGGTCCTCTCAAAACTATGTGCACATATCCGCTTGGCCATTTAATGTTCAGCCTTCAGCCACCTCTTACTTTTGAAGACATGAAAAGCACTAAAAGAATTAGAAGAAGATCACCTAGCATAATCAGGTCATTATTTTAAGAATGGGCTTGTGCACAGTTTTACACTTTGGTTTTCTAGGCACCAGAAACACGATATTTTTTGAGATTTGCAGAATGAGTTTACGAGTTGAGTACCTCATACTTAAAGAGCAACATGATCCAAATTGCCAGAGTGCAGGACTGGAAAGCCAGGTCCTCCTGAGTTCAAATCCTTAATCTGCCCCCAATTTGCTGTATAGCTCTCTCTCCAAGGAGTTTTATGGTGGTTACTTAATTATTTAACCAAATGCTGTTTTTTACTGATGCTCCATGTGTTTATTTGCAGATGGATATAGCCATAAGGCAGCTCAAAAACAACTTTTAACATTCCTGGTAACATTCTGGAAACAATGAAAGTTCGGCTCAAAGGAGATGCAATTTGTACCCTTTTCCTTGTTGTAGCACTTTGCTCTTTACTCTATTCCCAGTTGGAGCACTTAGCTTTAGCAGGTAACAAGGAACAAGCTCACAAGAAACCTTCATCAACACAAAGAATCTTCCCAGACCCCCAAGCCCCTGGGAGATACTCTCAAGAAGAAGTGATAGTAGCCAGACCCAGAATTATTATTACAAAGAAGGCAGAGGTGGATGATTATTCCCAAACTACCACTGTGTCCCCAGTGACTTATTCTACCTTTGACTTCAAGAGCTACCTTCTCAACAAGGACAAAAGAAACTTCAAACTTCTCATTAACCAGCCCAAAAAATGCAGAAGAACGCCTGGAGGTCCATTTTTGCTTATTGCCATCAAATCAGTGGTTGAGGACTTTGACAGGCGTGAAATTGTCCGTAAGACCTGGGGCAGGGAAGGTTTGGTACATGGGGCACAGGTTCAACGAGTTTTCCTTCTGGGAATACCAAAGAATAAGTCAGCACTGGCTACATGGGAGACCCTCATCCATCAAGAGAGTCTGACCTACCGGGACATTTTACTCTGGGACTTTATGGATACCTTCTTCAACTTGACCTTAAAAGAGCTAAATTTCCTGAACTGGGCCAATGAGTTTTGTTCAAATGTGAACTTTATTTTTAAGGGAGATAATGATGTTTTTGTCAATGTGGAGAACATCATTGACTTCCTTGAGAGGCGTGACCCCACAGAGGATCTCTTTGTTGGGGACATAATTTACAATGCGCACCCCATCCGTGTGAGAAAAAGTAAATATTACATCCCAGAAACAATGTATGGGCTAGGCATGTATCCAGCCTATGCAGGGGGAGGGGGATTCTTGTTGTCCAGCCAAACCATGAAAAAGCTCTCTGAGGCTTGCAAAGAAGTGGAGCTCTTTCCTATCGATGATGTCTTTTTGGGCATGTGCTTGCAGAGGATCAATCTCAAACCTGTTTTGCATGAAGGATTCAAGACATTTGGCATTGTGAAGCCCTCTGCTGCCCCACACTTGCAGACGTTTGAGCCCTGCTTTTACAAAGATCTCATGGTGGTCCACAGTCTAAAAGTACCAGAGATCTGGCTTATGTGGAACTTGCTGCATAGCCCACGGCTTTCCTGCACCCAAAAAAAGCAAGTGAAAAAGCCATTCCAATGGAAGAAGAAGACTAAAATGGTAACAGACGCTGCAACTTCCTGATAAAACAGACAAAGTATAACAGAAGCACATGGTGAGCCAAGCTCAAGAAAGGAGGAAACAAAGGAAGGCTGCAATATAATAAACTTGGTTTAGAAATAGAGTATTTTAGCACTTTTCAAGTACACAAGGGCAAGTTTTTGCAGAAGCCTGTCAGATTTCCTGGTTTGTACATACTATACATGGTAGGATTTTCTCTCTAACGTAATTCATATAATCACAAAATTAGATTTATTAGAACTGCAATAACATTTAATCCCCTCATGGATTACATTAGAGAGAGGACTCTAGTCCTATAGGGGGAACATGGAGAGAGAAGGGACAAATAAGAAATTAAGGATGGTGTCACTTGCAGAGCAGAATATAGGTAAGTGACCCAAGATCCCCAGGTAATTAGGAAGGGGCAGAGTTGAGATGAGCCTTAAAGACAAGGACAAGGATTTTCAATTGCTCCATCTTAACGTATTGATATTTCATTGCTTATAGTGATGTATACAAATTACACACCTGTTAAACTGCTGCTGAATCAGGACTCAAATTGGGTTGGTTCCTAGCAAGCTGATAAGCTTGATTTATATTCAATGGAAGCTAAAAATCATTTGAAAGTGGCAATGTCTCTCTCGCTGTCTCTCTCTCTCTCACCTTTGCAGACCAGATCCTCAGCCAGTATGCACCAATGCAGCTCCATGTTCGACCTCTGTTTGTTAAGAGGAACAACATATAGAACTCCCAGGAGCACCACATTTTTTTCTCTCCCTCCTTTGAATTGGAAGGAAAAGTATCAGTATAGCACACTAGTTTACAGATTGAGGCATTTTTATACTGAGAGCAGTCAACTATAAGAAGCAGCTGGGCCTTTTCAGATTGCTGAGGACACAAGTTTATTATTCAGATAAAAAGGTTTCAAAATAAGAGCCTTTCAAAACTCATTACAAAAGAACAAACCCAACTCCCCTCTCTCCCCATCTCCAAAAACCACCTCACCCCCAAACTGTCATCAAATGGTATCCTATGTCCTGTTTATTGTTTTTGTATAAACATTTTAAACTTTGCAGAAGATCACCAGCTTATTTGACACTGAATGAACTTTTTTCCACTTAAAACATTTCCCCCCAATAACAGTGAATCTTAAAACAAACCCTTCCTTGGACATCACATTCGGGAAGTGAATCACTTAAAAAGAGTCAGAAAAGCCTTTTAATCTTGGAGATGATGGATCTGGATTCACAGCTGGCTGAAACTGTTTCCCAATTTTTATGATTCTTCCCTCAACAGTGTCCTGAGAGCAGGGCATTTAAGCATGTGCTAAACCCATCCTTATTTTGGAGAGCTCTTACACAAGTCTTTCAAGTCAACAGAACTTTAAGCACATTCTAAATCAGAGCTTAGGCGACAACCGTAATTCAAATGTGGGATTCCACAGAATTCCAGCTTTTATTTTTCTATTTAGCCATAGCCAAAGCTCAATCCCCACTTTAACTATGCAGAGAGTGAAAAAAGGCTGTTAAGGGCATTGATTCACTACTGCAATTAAAGATGCTCAGCAATGTGTTCCAGATTAAAATTTAGCCTTATGACAACATATTTTCAGGGAAAAATACTAGCTACAGTAGACACTGAAGATCTATAAGTTGATCTATAATAGGTTGGCAATTTCTGGGAATAAGATTTTATACACATATATATTTCCACAAACAAAAAAACATTGTTGAAAAATATAGTAGTTCTGCAGAGGGTGGAAATATGTCATAGCCTTGTCAGTTAGAAACCGCCATTCAGGGCCTGTAGTAAATGTGCCTTATGTATGTATTTATGAGCTGTACAGAAAAGTGTTGTTATTAGTTTGGTAGCTGGGAAATTATTTATATTGTAATTAAAAGCAACATGCTTATCCAATTATTGGGATTAATTTGGTTTGTATGTATGGGTAGATGGGTGGTGGGAAGAGGTAAGAAAAAATGATACACGTATTTTTGAACAGAGAAAACAACCTGCAGAAGAAAATTAGTTATCTTGGATACCACAGAAAATCCTTTCTAATGAAGAGGTTTGTTATTCTAATGAAAGAAAAAATAGTTGTACATACCTTAGAACTTCTCATCATGTAACTACTTAGATCCTCCTGTCCTCATGACATCCAGTTGAGTTTTCTTAAACTGAAGACAAGTCCTCAGATCCACCCATTATCATGATGGCTTGTTATTCTGAGCTGCAAGGCCAGACAAATTCTTGCTCCTTTTTCTCTGAACATTGCTTCCATAGCTGCAACACTCAGAGCACAGCATTAGTGTCAAGACTGCCATATTATCTATTGTTCTTAATGTAAATATCTCCCCCATGTTGTGGAGACAGAGCAGAGGATTTTGTAGGAGGAAGCAACTAACCCAGTCCTGAAAGAATGGGTCTTGGTTTCCCACTAAGTAAAAAAGAGGGGTAAGCCCAACAAGAGAATTAGCCAAACTGCCTGAAACAAAGAAAGGCTATCATTGGGACACCAGCATATGTCCCAAAAGCTAGCAGGAGTAGAACTGGCACAATTTATTCACCTCTGTTGCCCTCGTTTTCGGAATACCTCATTTCTTTGCACAGGAAACACCAGGACCCATCATTATTTGTCAAAACTTTCTGCACAGTCCATTTTGTCTAATATTAAAACTTTCCATCTACCTCTAAAAGTGGCAGTGTTGAGCTGCAGTTTCACACTGAAATAAATGGCACCACCATTCCCTCATCTCCTAGAGGAAGGCTCTTCTACTAGCTCACCCCCTAGGTCCATTTGATAACACTGGGCTATTTTCTTTCTGAAAATGCTACTGTCTCACTCTGTGTTGCCTTGCAGGCTACCTGGAAGCCCTCTGCGCAATAATGGGTAGAATGAAGCTTGAGAACCATTTTGTAAGACCCTAGGCCTATGTGCAATAATAATGCACCACTAGAAGTTTCTTTGGAAAGGACAGGATTCTAATTTTGGAAGCAGGAAGGCTGTCTCCATAGCAAGCAAAGAGAATCAGTTGCTTTCATGGTGCATGTATCACCAGTAGATTGGAAGACCCTTTGTAAAATGAAATATGGAATGCTGTCCTATAGGCTTCAAGAGGGGGACAGAGAACAGAGGGTCTTACAAACACCTACTGAGTACAAATATGTAACATAAACATAAAACAACAGTTTCAAGTTATTATGTCTAAAATAAGATAGCTACAGTCCATAGTTAGGTGTTTATATTGGGCTTAATTTTCAGAGGTGCTCAGTAATTTAAAAAAAAAGAAAGACAATGTTTCAAATGCTGAAAAGCAGGTTAAGATACTCCATTCAAGCCCCCAGCCTGGACAATTTGACTACACATTTTCACTGAAACCAGTTGCATACTAGATTGATTTATTGTACCCTAGGTGTGGTTTTCTTTTCTTCCCACACACACACAAACACTGCAGGAGAATAAGTGCATGAGATCCAGACAGTGACTTTCATTTTACCTTTTCCAAGCAAAATGATGTGCATAAATACCAAACAAAAAGCCCATAAATGGCAACAAGACGTGAAAAAAAAATCCAAGCTGCATCACAGAAAACCAGGTATTAAATACATCTGTTTTGCTAAAAGCCACTTGAGTTTGTCATCGGCGGACTGAATCAATGCACTGTAGATGCTCTGTAGTTGACAATAACCCTCAGTGAGGAAGGATAGATGCTGAAAAGGTGCTATGTGGGTTCCAACAGTAGCAAGTAAAGCAAGCAGACTTCCTCAAGACAAGCATGTTTGTCTAAAGGCAAACATGAATCTAATACAGTACTTATTGAACCTCAGGGATCCACACACAATCCAACCCTTTTCAGACTATGCTAGTAGCCAGGCTAGGCTTGTTTAATGAGGAGTTGGATTGGACTTCACATTCAGCGCCTCTGTCTCCCAAGTCATTAACTGAAGGTGAATGCCAAGACCCAGCTTTAGATCAGGCTGACTGATGACCAGAAAGAAGAAAAATGGAATTTTCTGAAGCAACAAGGTATTAGAATTATGTGTTTTATGTCTAGATCCTAGTTTAAAATATGTCCTTTTAAAGCAGGTTCTGGACGTGAACTCTGGAGACCAAAATCAAAAAAGGTACAGAAGCAAGTTTTGAGAATTCATGCTAACCTGCAATGTTAAGAAGTGTGAGCAGTCTATGGAGAATATTAAAAAGACAATCTGATTTTAAAAAATAATAATTTAAAGCCCTAAAACATTATGACATGACTTTTAGAAGCACTGCAGGTGTTGTAGATGCATAAAAGTTCTGGAGACCAGCCCACCACACTTCTTGTGATGACTAAAACTGGAAAACTTGAACATCTGACCTGCTTTTTACCATTTCTGCTGCTTATGTTTGTTGTGCAAGGTGCATGCAACACAGACAGAAGAGTCAACTTCAGTCTCCTGGCAGACAAGGTTAAATGTAATATCTTTTATTAGACCAACTAAATAAGCTGGAGAAATCGTTCTTTGCAAGCTTTTGGCTTCAAACACCCTTCTTCAGGCAGAGGAAGAATCTACAGTTGTATTGTATTGCCTGGATGGGCTAAAAGCCAGTATGCAGGAATACAAGTCAGTGAAAATGCAAATGCGTGCCAGTGAGGGATCCTAGGGGGTGAGAGAGGGGAGAGACAGTAGTCTCTCACCCAGATACCTCACTGCCAGGCATTTGCATTTTCACTGACCTGCATTCCTGCATACTGGCTTAGCCCATCAGAACACAGTACAACTGCAGACACTCCCTCTGCCTGAAGAAGGGTGTTTGTACCTGAAAGCTTGCAAAGAATAATTTTTCTAGCTATTTAGTTTGTCTAATAAAATATATCACATTTATTCAAAGAACCTGGTCTACCTGTGTCCTTACACCAACATGGCTACAACCAACACCCCCAAAAGTTCAGTCTCAGACACTAGTAAGGTGCTATAGAGGTTTCAGGCAGCCAGCAATAAAGGACTTGTTAACAGTAAAGATTTGAAAAAGAGTGAGGTACAAGTAGCTTAAAGCAGCCATGTCAACAGCAGCTTTGGAAGCAAGTGAGAGATAGCACAAGACTTTAGGAAAAGCTACTGTCAAACAAGAGGAGAGGCAAGAAAACCCAAAAGGGTCAGCTGTATGCTTGGCACAAATCAATTTAATGATGTCACTGCAAACTGCCAATACATGCTCTTTAAAAAATTATCACACATACACATTTAGCTTAGTTATTTACATCATTCTTAAATTAAGTACCCGTCTAAGCATATTCACATGGTAGCTTATGGAGATCTATTTATCTACATCAGCACAAGTTTTTCTGAGGGAGTGCAGGATGGAGAGAGAAACCCTAAAATTAAGCTATAGGCAGGGGAGCTGGCAGTTCAGCAGTATCAGGTTCTGCTTGGATTAACTGGTGTCATGGGTTGAACATCACACAGGCCTGTGGTTTTTTAGACTGACTTTGTTTTAAAGTTTCTCGTGTGCATTAGTCATGCAATGAGACTGTCCAAACTGGCCCACCAATTACAACCTATGGTGCAGACTGGAATTTTAAGTACACACATTAAAGTAGCTTCCAAGGTGATTATACATAGAATGGTTGTACTGAGACTTTTGAGTGGAAGGTTTGGTGAGTCAGGAGAGGAAGATTTCATAGTTTCATAGTTTCTAGGGTCAGAAGGGACCTGAGAAGATCATCTAGTCCAACCCCCTGCCATGGCAGGAAAGAGTACTGGGGTCAAACGACCCCAGCAAGGTGTTCATCTAACCTCTTCTTAAAAACCCCCAGGGTAGGAGCCTGCACCACCTCCCTTGGAAGTTGGTTCCAGACCCTAGCTGCCCTGACCGTGAAATAGCACCTTCTGATGTCTAACCTAAACCTACCCTCTGCTAGCTTGTGACCATTGTTCCTGGTCACTCCTGGCTGTGCTCGGGGGAACAGTGACTCCCCCAATGCCTTCTGATCCCCCCTGACCAGTTTGTAACAGGCCACAAGATCCCCCCTCAGCCTTCTCTTGTGGAGGCTGAACAGGTTCAGGTCCCGTAGTCTCTCCTCATAGGGCCTGCCCTGCAGTCCCCTGATCATG